CAAGTATCTACCTCCCACCGATAGAGATAGAGCTGCAGTAGGCTTGTGGTTTCGGCATTATATGGCTAAATCGATATATACGAGACGCTGCCTACTTGCATCTGCGTTATAAAAATGTCCATAAACAATTGGTAAGTTTATAGACTTTTGGTTTGAAAATGTTTGGTTAAGTACCTAGAATAGAATAATTTGCTGTTTGTAGGTTTTAGATGTGTAGAAAGTGTTGTTTGAGCAAATGTTTGGTTTCTGCAGGTTAATCTCAGAAGTGAACTGCGTGAAAATGATGTATGGCTGCAAAGTTGATTCAATAGTTTAATTGATTGTTTTGATTGTTTAATTGATTTGTAAAAGTTGATTCAATAGTAGATGATTGGAAATAAGAATTATTGCTTATTTTTTGATTGTTTAATTGATTTGTAAAAGATGATTTGTAAAAGTTGATTTGTGTAATTGATGCGAACATAATTCTTATTTGTGCTTGTTTAATTGATTGAAATGTAATGGTTGATTTTGTTGATTTCAATCTGCATTATGTTGAAATGAAAATCGCAATGCGAAATGAAAATCGCAACGAGAGAATCGCAATGCGAAATGAAAATCGCAATGCGGAAATGAAAATCGCAACGAGAGAATCGCAATGCGATTTTCATTTCGCATTGCGATTTTCATTTCCGCATTGCGATTCTCTCGTTGCGATTTTCATTTCGCATTGCGATTCTCTCGTTGCGATTTTCATTTCCGCATTGCGATTCTCTCGTTGCGATTTTCATTTCGCATTGCGATTTTCATTTCGCATTGCGATTTTCATTTCGCATTGCGATTTTCATTTCCGCATTGCGATTTTCTTGTTGGGATTTTCATTTCGCATTGCGATTCTCTCGTTGCGATTGTAATTTCCGTGTTGCGATAGTCAAATGCATGCCTAATAAGTGATAAAACTGAATAACAAGAGTTGGTTAAGTCAAAATGGTTGGCCTGAGTCATTAATTCAACTGAAAATGTTAAAAGTTCACACATAAAATCCAATACAACGTTTGCATTTAAAAATCACCTAAGTTAACAGTCCCAAAAGGTGAAGCCAATTGTGATTGGGATTTAAAGATGATTGCCTTTTGCTTGACACCATATGAGCTTTGGATTTTGATGAGGATCCATATTTTGGTAGAGGAAAAGATGATTTTGATGGCACTGGTGATCCACATGTCAACCTTGTATGACCACTTTCCTTGCACCGACTACATGTCGATCTCTTCTTCTCTTCACCCTTAGACGGTATACGATCGTGACTTTTTGGTCGGCCAGGTAGCCTTCTGTCCATGGCTGGTGGCAAAACTGTTTGTAAGTCATCTGGTATGTCCCACTCAGAAGGATGTGGAATAGGGTAGACAATCTCGGCATAAGTCTGTCGATAAACTTCTGTAGTGTAGCAATCCATAGCGTATGCGCTTGAATCATCTTGGTTTAAATGAAGAGCAACTTTTATAACATGGCCACACGGATAACCAGATGTTTGCCATTTCATACAACTACACGTCTTGCATTTAGATCGACTAGCCCATTTAAGTTATTATCCAGTACTTGAAACAAAGTGTTTGAACATGGTTCAACTCTCCATGACGTTGACTTCACAACACGTTTCGTTATCTTTTTTTCAGTCCATGGTGTAACACGATGTTCCAATGTTCCTGTAAATTTAAAAAACAAATTTAGTAAAATATATAAATATGATAAGTTACGAATTCAAAGAAATAATACCTGCATGGTTTCTTTTCTTGTAGTACCACTGTTGAATAGAGGCTCGAAAAAACTCCATTAACATAGTAATGGGTAATTTCCGGGAATGACGACTTAGAGCGTTGATTGATTCTGCACTATTAGACGTCATGAAACCATATCTTGCTCCAAGTTGATGTACTCTTGACCATCTTTCAAACCCGACATCTTCTAGTGTTTGAGCACACTGAGGCAAAACACGTCTTAAACAATTTATATGCTTATTGAAATCCACTTCCCGATAAGCTTTTACAGCCTTCCAGTATGTCCATTTGTGCTTTTTTATACCAGCATACCTTGATTTTAGATTTCTATACAAATGAACACCACAAAGTCCATGAAAAGCATCTGGGAAACACCTTCTAACAGCGTTGTCAATTGAGTTTGCCCTATCGGATATGATTGTCAGATTGCTAATAGGACCTATGCAATCCCTAAGATGCCCCATAAACCATGTCCATGAATCAGAGGTTTCAGATTTGCCAACCCCGTAAGCTATTGGCAATATCCCATTGTTAGCATCCATGGCTACTGCTAATAAGTTTACTCCAAGGTATCGACCTTTCAAATGTGCTCCGTCAACTATAATAACTGGGCGCATGCAAGTAATAAACGAACGAATCTACAAAATAATATACACAAGAAATATAATCATTTAAATGTGAAATGCATGTAACTAACAAAAATGAGTCAACAAAATTATATTGATTTACTAACCGTAGCACTAATGGCGATAAACAGCAACTCAAAGTGTCCATCTCTATCTGTTTTGATATGAGTTACTGACCCAGGATTTTTCAGCTTTAAATTGTGACAATAAGCAGGCAGTTGGGCAAACGATGCTTCTGGCGACCCCCTCAACAATTCCAAGGCATAACATTTGGCTCTCCAAGCTTGAGAATATGATATACTAATCTTGAACCGAGCATTCATGTCAGTCATAATTTCATGTCCCCGATATACCCTGCCATTCAAAAACATTAACTCAGCCAAAAACCACCCAACACCTTTTTGTTTGCCTGTCTATGGTGAGGAAAAACTTGGGTTCTTGAACATGTATGTTTATCAATAAAAGTCCTAACTTGAAACATTTCGCAATCTTTTATTCTCTTTGCAATCATACGCCACGTACAGTTTTTGTCAATCATACACCTTATTTCGAAACGATCTTTGCTTGATTTGTTAACTTTTAGTTGATAGCCATCTTCCACACATTTCGTATACAAAGCTATCTTCAAGTCTTCCTTTGTATCAAAACAATCATCTTTCTTGATACGAATAACTTTTGTGTAACAATCAACTGCTTTCTTTACCAACTATTCTTCCGGTATCTGAAGTAATTCTGGCATATTCCAGTTATACGCCCATGGCATTTTCTTTTCTTCGGGGACTTTTTCTTCTTCTTTTTCTTCTTCAGGATTATATGAATTACAGAATGGATGTTCAACATGTTCATTCACAGTCGTAACTTCCTCCTCATTATCATCAACAATACATTCTTCGGCAACGGCTGTTTCATCATCAAAATTCGGGTATTGACCAATATCAAAATCATTACACGCAGGGTCTGTTTCTTCTTCTGAAACATCATCAAAATCCGTGTATTGACCAATATCAAAGTCCGGATATTGACCAAGACCAAATTTCGAATACTGACTAGTACTCATTTTTTCGGTTGGCTCATCATCGTCTAACTGGTCAATACGAAAACCGGAATTTGGTGCTGAAAGTTGATTGGGATTTGGATTAGAGAAAGGTTGTGGGTTTTGAGAAAAACTTAGTTGATTACTACCCGCTACTGACCCAACAATACTACTTCTAGGTTCAACAACATACAATGTAACATCATCTTGTGAAACACTAATGTAAGCAATGAATCGTTCAACATCTTCATTGTCGGTTAACAAATAAACTTTACCATTTCTCTGATAAGATAGCCTAAATCCACTTAGGGGCTCTAAATTCAATTTATTTGAAACACGTAGCATTAGAGTTTCATAAGTTAACTTTTGTAAAGACAATTTTAGTTGAAGATTCATGGGTAAAGGCATATATTGTAAAACACCATGAACATTATCCCATGACCCTCCAAAACACAAATCTATCCAAACATGATCAACATTAGATGATTTCATGGTTGTAAATTAATTTACTAAACAGACGAGCTGCGAAACTAAAACCTGTTGCCGGATTGGGAAGGATGTCGTTGGATATAGGAACGGATGTCGCCGGAGAGAGTGATAGATGGAGATGGAATGAGTTACGATTTAGGGATTTAGTTTATGATTTGCTGCTGTTGCGTAGTTATATACCCAAATTTTCAGTGTTGTGATTTACAGATTCTCGTTGCGATTTACGGATTATCGTTGCGATTTACAGATTCTCGTTGCGATTTACGGATTATCGTTGCGATTTACGGATACGCGTTGCGATATACGGATACGTATTGCGATTTACGGATACGCGTTGCTATTTACGGATACACGTTGCGGTTTACGGATACGCGTTGCGATTTATGTGTTCGCGTTGCGATTTTCATATTCGCGTTGCGATTCTTGAAAATCGCAATGCGAATTTGTACTATCGCATTGCGATTTTCAAGAATCGCATTGCGATTTTGGAAACTGATTTGCGATTCTGGGGATCGCGTTGCGATTTTTATTTCGCGTTGCGATTTTGTTGGTCATTTTGGCAAATCCAAAAAAAGTTGGTTAAAATCGTATATTATAAGGCATTTTTGGTCACTGAGGCGATTTTCTCTTTTTTTATTAATCTAATATGATTATAAGTAAACTATATTCTAAAAATTCTCCTCAAACACCTTTACAATATGAGATCTCTAAGTATAACAATTACCCTTTTAGACACTAAAATTATTTTATTCGTACATTTTAAAAATATTTTTAAAATAACTTCTAAAAAATTTAAACATAGTTTATTAACCCTTGTTCATCATCTATATAGTGCCCTATATTCACTGGAAACGGGTTAAATAATAATTCAAAATTGTTTTACTTAGTGTTCTATATCTTAAATATTTATTTCATCTCATTTAATAACAAAGTAGTTAATTGTAATTTTGATAACTAATAAAAGAAATAATAAAATATTATTTGCTAAACCTAATTGTAATTGAATTTGGCTCCATAATTAAAAAGTACTAAAAGTCTGACACAGAACTCGAGGGAAAAATCGGGTTTCTCATAAAAAAGTAAAACGGTTCAGCGTTTTTCTTATTCATCTGTACTTCACTGCTTCTTCTTCTTATTTTCCAGGGCTTTGAAGCAGATCCATTGATGGACAGACACAGAGATCGCGGAGAACGGTTCAACGATCACCCGCCCTTAAACCCTACTCCTTGGTTTCCCAATGCTCCAAGACCTAATTTCCCCCCCGACTACCACCACCAGCACCACTATCATCATTACAACAACCGGCCTCCCCACCAGCAATTCGATTACCGGCCTCCCCACCAGCAATTCGATCACCGGCCTCCCCGCCAGCAATTCGATCACCGGCCTCCCCACCAGCAATTCGATCACCGGCCTCCCCACCATCAATTCGATCAACGGCCCACCCAGCAGCAGTTCGAACACCGGCCTAGCCAGCAGCGATTCGAGCACCGGCCTAGCCAGCAGCCATTCGAACAGCGGCCTATCCAGCAGCAATTTGAGAACCCTCCGAACAATCAACACCACTTTGAACGCGTCCCGGAGCAGCATCAACCACCGAACAGTGAACAAAACGACAGGTTCCGGTCCAACGGTGGCAACGGTCCCAATTCCGGTCGAAAGAGAGGGTTTCACGATTCTGGTCGAGGAGCCTCTCCAGGTAACAACTTTAGATTACGTTTAAGCATAATATATTTTGGTTGTCTGTGCCCAATTGCCCCGTTTCATTTTTGCTTGGAATGCATGATATATTTTTACAATTTATGAACCTCTTTGTAAATTACATAACTCGTATTTTCTCTCATTCCTCTTGAAAAAATTCAGAGCATAAAGATGGAAGCAATATACCAAAACTTTATGTAGCAACGGTTCCGAAAAATGCTACTGAAGAATCTGTAAGCTATTGTCACTTAAGGGGATTATGCTTCTACTAGCTATGAGCTCCTAATGTTACTTTTTCAAGTTCAGTTCATTGAATATGTGGCGTGAGTAACTATTGGGTTATTTCTCTTTTTTTGTTAGATCCGCATCCTGTTTCAAGAACATGGAAATGTTGTTGAGGTCATTCAACCAAAGGATAAGAAAACTGGTGAACTACACGGTATGTACAATATTTTGTAATATAGAATTAGTTGTGATTTTACTTTTAAGCAAAACTGGGTTTGTTATCAACTAAGTGGCTGCTTTCAGGAAATAAATGCCTTGTTTGTCATAGACTTACAAAGTTGCGATAGATGGTAGCCTGCTTGTAATGTTATGCAAATGATGCTGTTTTCAGGATATTGTTTTGTGAAATATGCAATGGTTGAGGAAGCTGAGAGAGCAATTGCAGCTTTAAACAATTGCTATATGTTTCCTGGGGTATGTTCTTTATTTTCAGTCTGATAAGAAATTCCATGTATGTTGGTTACAGTAGTGTGGTTAGGTATACCTTTCAGTATATTTGATTTTTCCAGGAATCGACTACCATCAAAGTCAGATATGCTGATGCTGAACGAGACCGCGTTGGTAAGGTTTTTACCCATTAGAACTTATATGGTCACTATTCTATACATTGCATGCAACACCTTGAAAATCCCGTCAACATTTTTACATATTTAAATGTTAAATTCTGCTAGATACATTATGACTTTCCTCAATAGACTTTTAGGCTTTGTTGATAATAAATTTATTGCATGCAAACAGTTATATGCAATACGCTAATCAAACACCCCTTAGAAGATGGCAGAATTTTCAAAATTGCAATATAGTTTGATTTTCTTTTTATCTATATTTGTTCTGAGTGCTTTGTTTGTTTGTGTGGTAGGGCTACTTCCAGATAAATTATACGTGTGCTGCCTAAATAAACAAGCTTCTAGAAGGGAGGTTGAAGAAGTATGTTCTGTATACACTGAGAGCTCATGCATAGTTTGGTTTTACTTGTACCAATTAATTTCATTACTTGTGCTTGATTACGGTGCAAGATGTGAACACTGCCATTCTGTCCAAGGATTTAGCTGTTACCAAATGTCTATCTTTTCATTTTGTTCTTTAGCACCAGAACAATCCTTTCAGATTGAAAAGATATGCTGTTTATGTTAGACCATAAGAATTTTGTGTTATGCATGATGAAGCAGCCTGCAAACTATAATAAGATGCATTTGTACTTGCCTGCATGTAGGATGGGCTCTATTAGCGTATTTGATATTTGGTAACATAGTTACATTATTCTGCTTAGGTTACTTGTATGATTGCATTAGTGTATATCTATGCATTTTAACTATTTAAAGCCTGATTCATGTCATGCTGAGTCCTGCATTCGCTTGTAAACCATATGTTTATTTTTTCCATTTTCATCTCAATGCTTCCCCCAAAAATATTTTTTCTCTTCAAAGTCAATATTGGCTATAGTATATCTCTTGTGTTTTGAGATGTATTCAGCAAATATTTCTTCTTTCAGATATTTTCTCCGTATGGCCATGTTATAGACATCTACATTGTACGTGGCGAGCACGGGGAAATGCGTGGTTTGTTCTTATCAATCTTAATCATCTCTTTTATTGACTAACATGCTTGCTTAGAATGAACATATTGAAATATGATAAATATGCTTTATCTGCCAATGTGATTTCACCAGATTAGCTTCATGTTTACAACTGGATGTTGAATGTTTTGTCTAGTTGTTGTATCTTTTTTTTCTTTCATTTTTAGAACACTTTATTTGGCTTTGTTTTCCGACACTAATGACACAAAAATTCTCAAAAACTACCCTTGTTTAATCATTGCTGTTTTTCCCCTTGAAAAGACTATCTTCTTGTTTTCACTTTGATTAATCAAAAAGAGTATACAAATCATAATGATGCTATTCTTTTTTGTCCATAAATGTAGACCTCATTGTGGTCTATGGTTTTACTTTACCTCTAAAAGCCTCTTAGTCAAAAAGTTGGGTTCTATGATAAAAAACTCATCTACGCTTTGCCTTTTCATATTAATTAACTCTTTTTCTCCCTGTTGAATCATTGGAATAGTTAAATGTTATCAGGCTTTAACCGCGGCTGCTTCTGAATAGACATTTATGCTTTTTTAAAGGATGCGGATTTGTCCAATTTTCTCACAGAGAAATGGCTCAGGCAGCTATCAGAGGATTAAGTGGAATTTTCACTATGAAGGTAGTAATGCTCATGAATTATCATTTTGTTGCGTTTATATCATCTTATGCTAACGAAGAGTACTAATTTAGTTGTTATTTTATCCCCGTGCCTTTTTTAGGGTTGTGACCAGCCATTGATTGTTCGATTTGCAAATCCAAAGAGACCTCGGAATGGGGAACCAAGGTTTCTTCCTGGATACTTGACTTTTTTTCATTATACTTGTAACCATACATTGCTGTTTTGTTTGATCCTAACATATTATGAGAGAATTGCATTTTAGTCACGCCTGACATTGTCCATTTAATTTACTGTCATTTAATTACAATATATACACAGTTTAAGGTCTTTGACCTTCATATTAGGCTTTCTAGTTAGATATTCCAACCTGCAATGAAGCAAAACCTTTTTCAAGTTGTTGCTGAATTATAGAAACTTGATTTATTGTCTGATTTGGCTTATAACTGCATGGTTTAACACAACTTGCTCTTTCATAGTTAAACTATGTTAACATATTGCTCTATTTCCAGGGGCAATTATGCTTTTAATAGCATAACTTCTGGATCCCATCCTCAAGAATTTGCTATGAGGTAAGTTCTTTTCCCTTAATTTTTTGATTACTTTTAACATTTTATTCATGTTCAAGAAATTTGATTTACTTTCTTTGTTGTTTGCTTGTTCCAGACCTGTGCCAAATCTTGGTGACCCAATGGGAGGACGTATGCCACCCAACGCATCATATCCAATGCAACACATTTCTACAAATTCACAGCCACAGGGTCCTCAAGTTGCAGCATATCATGGTACTTATCAATCATATCCTCCAGTTGAGCAAGCACACTCACAGCCTATTTCACTGCCATTGCAGCAAACAAAAACTCCACAGGAATGTTCTCAATCATCTCACCCAGCTGTCTCTGAGCAGAAACAGTTGCCTCTTATACCACCATCATCGCAGATTCTAGCCCAGCAGGATTCAAATGTCCCCAAGCTAGAGGTACAAGGTTTATTTTATATATTTAGTGAAAATGCTTTTATTTTATTATATTCTTATTAGGAGTCTGGAAATGTTAAATGCCAAGCACAAAGGTGGCTTGAGATTTTATCCGTTGATAGTGTTATGCTTTGGCTTAACAGAGGAACTGCAGATGCTATATACTCGTGTTGTCATGCTTATTATGGATCCATTCCCCGTTTGGCGGATAAACATTTTCTATATTATACTTGCCTAAAAGAGAAACTGCATCGTACTGATTTCTGACATAACAGATGCACTGCCACACTATAATTAGCAACAATTACGAATCCACAAGGAGATCTGAGAAATCTTCAGAATGGTATATTCCTAAGAAAAGAAGACTTTTTTCAAATTCTTAAAGCCTCAGCAATCTCTAGCAATATAAAAGGACTCTTGAACTTGAATAGGAAACAGATGTAACTATCATGTCATTTGCCCTTGTAGATGACTATCAAAAGGATCCCTTTCAATAATATGAACACTTGTCTCTTGATTCACTTTTCTTTGTTCATTTTTTCCTCTTATGATAATGTGCTGTAATTGAAGATTCGACTCCAATTTCTCATATTTCTTCAGTTTCCACAGACTGGAAGTAGCCAGTCAGTTGCTGCTACTTCAGTTGCGCATGCAGTACCGCAAAGTCTTGAGACTTTGCCAGAGTGTGATTGGAGTGAACACACCTGCCCTGAGGGGAACAAGTATTACTATAATTGTGTCACTTGTGAAAGCAGAGTAATTTTCCTGCCTTCCATGGTTGTTGCATTTTGCAGATTGTAATTTTTCTTTCCAAGTGACTAGCAATATGTGTTAAATTTGTATTGCAGTGGAATAAGCCAGAGGAATTCTCATTATTCGAGAAACTGTTGCAGAAGCAGCAAAATCCTGGTGGACATATTCAGTCTGACTCAACTGGTCTTGCAGACCAAGTTTCTCAAAATCCAGAGGTGCAACTTCAGACCAGCCCAATGCATCAGAAACTCAAAGTTGAACAACCTTTTTCTACATTGGTTAGAAGTTATAATTTTTTTAGATTATTTCGTTTTTATCATTGCACTCTTTTCCAGCTCAGAGGCCTCGCGATAAAAGTAACTGTTGAGCAACCAATACAGATTTTTTCTAATGAAAAAACTTTATCGAATTTTCTAGACGTATTTTGTGTCTGTGGATGCTGCATCTCATACTCTGTTTCCTTATTATGACATTTCTAGATGGTGTGATTTGCTTAACTTCGGTTTATTCAGATTTGCCAGGGATTGGACCATTTGGAAATGAAGTCTGAAGCAAGTCCTGTTGTGGATCCAACGTCTGTTTAACTGCTATCAGGTGGGTTGTCCATTTTCTGTAACCTCTCATGCTAGGAACAATTTGCTATTGTGATTTTGATAGGAAACTCAGATCAGGAACAAATTAACTTTAACCATTTCAGTTATTCACTCTCAAAACCAGGATGTGGGGAAATTTAGTAAAGGACTGTAGTTGCAGCTTTGTAAAGAACGTTTTAGACTTAGGTGGAGGGATGCCTGCTGTTATCGATTTGAGAGCGATTTAAATATATTTCGATTATTAGTTCGACCTTGTTTTATAATAGTTGACTATGATTGCAATTGTTTTACTTGTATTGGTTGTGATCAAAATTTTAATTATTCTAAAACAGTTTTATTTATTAGTGTAATGAAAAGTAACAGTCTTTATGAGGGCAGTGGTAGGACCTAGGAATTGCGTAATATGTTTATAACAATTATCTCAAATTCAGCATTCATAAACATTATAGAATTGTAAAACATCAAATGCTTTGAATAAATCATATATAATTTTTGAATGATTGAATGCAGTAATTAATTTAAATATAATTATTTTTATTTTAAATTAATAATGCTATAACTTTAATATAATATTTAAGTAAACGATTAAAATTTACACCATTTTATTTGATAAAATTTAAAATTCTTTAATTCAGATTGTGTGCGATAAAATTAAATTATCAAGAATGTAATGATTGTGGTTTAGGATAATGTTGCGTTATTGGTAAAATCAAAGGAGACAATAGACGAATTATCCCTAACTACCCGAGCCACAAATTATATGAGGCCAAAGTGGTGTTTGTTTTTGCAGAGGTAAAAGGTCTGCAGTCTGCAGACCACATCTGCAGCAGAAGAGGTATATCAAAAGTCTGCAGTCTGCAAGAAGAAGACTGTTTGTTTTTTAACGTCTGCAGTCTGTTAAAATGAACTGAAATATAAATAAACTGACTTTTTAAACTTAAAAGAGTTTTGCAATACTGAGATTTAAATAATTTTAGCTTTACAATACTGAAATTTAAATAATCCATACAACTACAATAATAAATTATTTAAAATAAATCAATCCATATTTTAAAATAAATCAATCTATACTAATAAATTATTTAAAATAAATCAATCCATACAACTACAATAATAAATCAATCCATATTTTAAAATAAATCAATATATACTAATAAATTATTTAAAATAAATCAATCTATATTTTAAAATAAATCAATTCATATTTTAAAATAAATCAATTCATATTTTAAAATAAATCAATTCATACTAATAAATTATTTAAAATAAATCAATCCATATTTTAAAATAAATCAATCCATATTTTAAAATAAATCAATCCATACTAATAAATTATTTAAAATAAATCAATTCATACAACTACAATAATAAATCAATCCATATTTTAAAATAAATCAATCTATACAAATAAATTATTTAAAATAAATCAATTCATACTAATAAATTATTTAAAATAAATCAATCCATATTTTAAAATAAATCAATCCATACTAATAAATTATTTAAAATAAATCAATCCATATTTTAAAATAAATCAATCCATACTAATAAATTATTTAAAATAAATCAATCCATACAACTACAATAATAAATCAATCCATATTTTAAAATAAATCAATCCATACTAATAAATTATTTAAAATAAATCAATCCATATTTTAAAATAAATCAATTCATACTAATAAATTATTTAAAATAAATTATTTTAAAATAAATAACCTTATTAAATTATTTAAAATTATTTTAATAAATAACTATATTTTATAATTGTTCTTGAAGAGGTTTGAAGACCTTTGAAGACATAAAACCAAGTCTGCACCAAGAAGAGCTCGCGCAGACGTTTGAAGAGCTTCTGTCTTCTAAAAAATAAACAGTCTGCGAAGCCTAATGTCTGCGCGTGGTCTGCGCGACACAGACATAAGTGGTTTGAAGAGCTTGCACAGTAAAAACAAACACCATCTAAGTGTCGCACATCCACGCCTTTTGAATATCCTCAAAGATCCCAGATATTTGGTCAATAAAACAAGGCGGCTAAATTGCATTCTTCACATTTGTGGTGTCATATATGATGTTATTTTGGATAATCTGTTTTGCATAGTTTAATTTAAGATTATTTTAAAATAAATTTTAATTTAAAATATTATACATATAATATTTTCGATTATAATTGAAAAATTATATTGTGAGATGTAGGACTTACAACCAACTATATTATGAAAAAAATAATATTTTTATCTTTAACAAAAAAATATTATTCTGTCCAACTTAAAAAGTTACGTTCATAACAAAATGTATTTTAAAAATTGTAGTTGAGTTTTAACAAAAAAAACATATAATTCTTAATACAAATTCCACTTTAATCTTAGTAGAAGGAATGTTGTATATTAGGGATAATAAAATATTTGGAATATTATACTCACGTTTGATTTTTAAATATTTATTTGAAATAACAATATTAATAGTGATTACTATTTAAAAATTATTGACGAGAATATCATAACTATCTATTTTGTAGAAAATATAAATTATTAATAATAAATATTATTTTAAATAATATTTATATTTTAATAAAATACACAAACTCGAAAAATGATGATTGTGTATTTTTGTTATCAAACCCTTGGAATTGAAGTTTAATAATTATGTAATTATGATTAGAACAAGTAGTAGTACTATTCAAACAAATGAAGGAAATTGCAATATAAAGCTTACAAGGGACAATTACTGTATAATTTTGTAATATTAAAAGGTCAAGTGAGAATTTGATTCAAAGTCGGCTAGTGGATGTGGACCGATTTAAATTTGTAAAACAAGAGACAGAATCCGAAGAAATCGCTCTAATAACGAAATTTCGTGGTCGACGACGACGGTTCGACTCATCCTGCTAACGTATTGGTGTTGGGATCCGGGCTAACCAGAAGAGTCATCTCGCATGAGGAATCTGGTGAGTGGAGTTGCGAGTCAAACTCGGAGATCCAAGTCCAGGCGGATTTCAGACCCGGAGTCATAACCCTCGATGGTCACGCCGATGATTGGAAGACATTGATGGGTTCGAGTTCTCTCTTCTCCCTGCTCTTGACCCGGACGAGGATCACGAGTACAAAGATGGGAAAATGATTGTGAAGGTAATGCTATTGCCTATTGCTTGTATTTCAAAATGGAAGAACATTTGTCCATGAGTCTACATCAATATATGTTTTTAGCGGCGTTTTTTTAGCTTTATAGCGGCGTTTTCTAGCGCCGCTGAAACAAATGCCGCAAAAGGTAGCGGCGTTTGTGAACAAAAACGCCGCAAAAGATCCAGCTCTATAGCAGCGTTTTTAATAAAAACGCCACAAAAGGTCAAGATCAATAGTGTCGTTTTTAGTAAAAACGCCGCAAAAGGTCATGGTCTATAGCGGCGTTTTCAAAAAAACGCCAAGGTCATGGTCTATAGCGGCGTTTTTTTTAAAAACGTCGCTATTTACCTTATATTTAGTGGCGTTTGTTTTCTAAAACGCCGCTATATATTATGATATTAGCAGCGGTTTTTGGAAAAAACGTCGCTATTATCAATGTATATAGTGGCGTTTCCTTCACAAAACGCCGCAAAAGAACCTGACTTTTGGTGACTTTTATTTAAAAACACCGCTATAGTTAACTAGTTTTGCATATATCATTTTTTACTTTATATTACGCAAATTTAATATCTATAACATTATCATAACAATAAACTTAAAAAATTAATTACGACACAAATTATGTAGAAAAATAAATCAAAATTTATAAAATTAAATTAAAATGTAACATAGTTCAACATAGCTCAACTACAGCCAAGACAAACAACATAGCTCATTTCCCCAATACGAGAGACCTTTCCCCAAGCCAATGTGTCAATGGTCCCCTGAAGATCATCCAAAACTTCAGCCTTAGCAGCTTTGACAAAGCAAACACTAGGATTCTGCCACAAATTGTATAAAGTTAAGTTGACTATAAAAAAGTCTTACTTAAGCATCAAAGTAGAGACAATGACATAATTAACCGAAAAGCATCAAAGGAAAAAAGATGGATATCACCAACTTGTAATCAACTAGTAATGCATATTTACAAAAACAATTTAGGAAAACCAAATTCCTGTACATGTCCAGCAGATTCCTGGAATGAAGCACATACAAATTTATTAACTAACAGATTTGTAGTTAAATCCTTCAATTTAGATAAGCTTAAGGTTCACTAAAAATTTATTAACTAACACATTGGTAGTAAGGTAAGGGATAAGCTAAGTTCTATTTACTTAAGAGTTTTCCCCCTGCTTACTCAAAGATTAAAAAGAGAAGATATACCACTTTAATTAACACATCTGCTATTTATTAAGATATACCATTCATTGATTCTGCAGGCAATTCCATGATCATTGTCTCTTTCTCCTCATCCAACATGTACCAATTAAAACCTAAAAGAACCAAAATATAAACAGAAAAATAATGGAGAAGAAGATATCAAAAGCTAGAGAGAGAACATGATGAACCCAATATCATGGAATTCAAGGATATGAATTTCAGACATAATGACAAAAGATAAAAGAAATGCAGATAAAATGGTGTCAGAGCATCTACCTCTTATATAGAACTGGTCACATATCTGCCTCAGTGAATAATGATCTCCAGCTCCAGCATCATAATTGTCTTAAAAAACAAGATGGTTAAAGCCAACTTTCAATGCCTGCTTTACCTGTTCATTGAAGTGCATTCCACAAACATGAACATAATAAACTGAAAATCATAAAAGGCAACACCAAGAAAACATCCTTAAATCAGCTCTACTGAAACCTAAAGCTTTGAACTTGCTAAGGGAGAAGATCCACGGTACTTGGATGCATTAAGTACCTTTTCAATTCATTTTGAGAGTATATACAAATTGTAGAAGTAAGCTATATGATACCAAAAATCCCTAAACAAAAGTCAGGACATGTTCTCAAGTAAAAAACAATTTCTCAAGGTTGCGTTGCAGCATTTAAATTCTAAATTTTGGAATGGGATTTCAGAAGTACTGAAGATTGTTTAATAAAAAGAAATGAAACAATATCACTTGCTATTATTTTTCAAACTTATGAATTAGTTAAATGTCGATTTAATGATAGTTTAAAATATCTAAAGATGTGTGTGGATTAAAATCCAGGCTTCATATCTTTTAAATATGTAATCATATTGATTTACAAACTAATTTAA